CTTAAACCTTTCGGTGAAGATAACGTTATTAATTTTTAGAGTATTCGGTATTCAGGAAATTTTAATAAGTTTGTTTGCGACGAAATTAATCATGTTCAATCAAGTAATTGAACTAGCAAAAGCCTCAAAATCTTATTTCCAAAACCATCATGAAAGAAGACTCTTTTTTGATACTTCATTGATGACATCTTGCTTACTTTTCACTTTATGTGCAGTTGTGACCAGTCAGCAATATTTTGGAAATCCTATAGAATGCATGCAAGATAAGAAGAATGATAAAACTATTCCGGAATCGGTTTTGAATAAATTTTGTTTTATATCAGTGACTTACATTTCAGTTGATTTTAAAGGTATGTTGAAATAACTAAATTATTGTTTATGTTTGGGATAAAATATTATCATCAAGTAAATTTCACCTGATATTTCTTAATAATCTTATTGACCATTTAAGTTAATATAATTGAGAAAACCGTTATAATCAAGTATGGTATATGCATGACAGAGTGATTACTGTCAGGGATGGGTATCCCACATACAACATATTTTATTGCTCACCTCTTCTTAGAAATAATGCAAAACAAAAGTAGATTAGAAAAACCATATATTATATACAATTGCAGTTCCTACAGTCTGCTCCATGCTTGCTCTTTTTTTGATTTGAATCTTTTCATTCCAAAAATGCATAAACACGCTGAAAGGTTCCCCCCTCAAAAATTCCAAATCTTCAAAATGTTTTCCACTCAAACAGTTTGATGGGGCGACTTGTAACCCCTTCTGGGCACTCCTGATTACTCCTCTATTGGACTCATTACGTGGTAAATATTAATGAAGAAAATATATTGAAGGTATCCCTCACCTCTGTCAATTATAATAAGTTATTATTTTGTCAATTATGATTTTTCTTTCTACAAAATCTTGCTTTCTAAACATGAATATTAGTAAATTTCTTATTACTCTACTTTATTTGTCTATGACATTAAAACATAGGACCATAATATAAAAATATCTTCCAATTTTTTTTACTGTTGACGACATTTAATTTTAAGTGAATTTACTAATTTCCATAACACTGTCCATTAGTTATTAATCAATTGTTTATTTGCAATTACATTGTTATGAGTATGTTAAGGAACGGCATACTTCTATAATGTATTTTATTCTTTCTGCTTAACGCCTCTGCATAATGTAACCTTAATATTTTTGTCGTCTTATTTTGTCCCTAGACATTAAAACATTTCTAATTTTAAAAAGGTTCATTTATTGTTTCTCAGTCATTTAATATTTAAGAAATAGGTTTTTAATAAAAAAACAAAACAAAAAAAACTGGTATTATTAAATAATTTACATAACATAACTTTTGAACAAAATAACACCACACACATAGTCTCCTATTCTTATCAAGAGAGGCCTTGAAATATTGTATAGCCGAGCACCCCATTAATTTGATAAATAAATTAATATAGCTCAGTAGAACCCTTACACATCTAATTATATTGACACTATAAATATTGAAAGAGCTTCAATAATAAAAAAAATAAATTAATATCAACTAATTTGATTGATATCAATATAACTGACATGATGTGGTCCTCATATGGTCTGTATATTGTCAAAATTTGATATTCACTCAACAATATTGACTGTGTAAGGATCCAAGTGTCACTGATAGAAAAATACGGTCTATAGAAATAAAACAATGTGGCCACACTTTCCCAAAATGGCATCCAAACATGTCAAGTAGATTCCTTTGATTTGAGTTGGTTTTTTGGTCACCGAGATTCAGCAGTTGGCTTAGTTTTGTCATAATTGGTCTTTTCTTAAAGCTGGATATTCAGAGAGTAATAAAACATCAAAATAATTTTAAAACTAATTGGCCTTGGCAATAAAAAATACCAGCAAAGACAATTCTTTCAAGTCGTTCAAATCAATGCTGTAAATCAAGTCATTTGTAATTAAACGGCCAAAAATAGCGAAAAACGTCTTAAGATAAAGTAACTAGAAAACACATTTTTCTTTCTAAATCAATCATTAATTTTTAACAAATTTCAAGGGTTCTTTAGAAAGTGTACTTAATCAGCGGAAAAGCAGCAGTGGCGTAGGCGCCTACAGTCCTCTGCTACCTGATTCGGTTCTTACTAATGGCATAGTTATAGTGCTACTCTCTTCATCTGTAATTTATATTTTTCTAAATATCTTTTCTAAGATCCTTTATAAATTCCCAATTTTTAAATTTTTTAAAATATAAGCCAGCTAACTATACTAGCTGTCCCCAGCTGTCATCACAAATTTATGCTGCCAAGATCCATTATAAAGTTGAGGAGTAGGAGTGCCTAGAAGAGAATTGCATGGCGCAAGTTGTGCCATAAAAATTTTTGAGGGGCGCATATTTTTCAATACCACAAAAATATGTTTCTATCCAAAATTTTGAAATCCCATAAAAATGTGAGCCTCTCACATTTCTTTATAGGAGTTGACATTTTTTAGGGGTCACATTTTAATGGTGTTATGAATTTATGGAGAGAACCATATTTTCGTGGTATTGAATTTGGAGGAACTTTCATAGCATGGAATAAAGAGTAAAAAAGAACAGACACAAGTATCATTGTATATGATAAAAAAATTATATTTTTTTTCCTAACCTCCCCAAAAAAAAATTATAATATTTTTTTTTCCTAACCTCCCAAAAAAAAAATTATAATTTTTTTTTTCCTAACCTCCCAAAAAAAAATTATAATTGTATTTTCACTTGGCCTTTTATTTAGATTAAAGCAATACAAGTGCTTGGGAGGGGGCATTCTCCATCGACTTTTGGGGAAAGGACATCCCTGTTGAGTAGTCATATATCAGGTATAGGTGAAGATTAAGATAAATATCAGCTATAGGTGCAAATGAAGAGTTGAATAATAGTTCTTCATTTTATAATAGTGTTTCATGTTTTGGGGATACCGTCTTTGCCATTCTAGAATAATTGTAGTGAGAAGCGCAAAAGGATCTAAGTGCATTTAGAAAAATTGAAATAATATATTCTTTGTTTGAAGATCCATTGGTATAGTTATTATTATAAATGTGATATTATTTATTACTTATAAAATCACAAGTAAACAACTTCACTTTAATGGTTAGGCACAAGATCTCATAATCACAATATAAATGGAGTTCTGAGAATAGCCTAGTGTGTCTGAACGTAAACGTAGGTGACTAAACTGTCTGGTAATCTCTGACCGATCTAATCTGAAAAAGACCCTTTGGGGGTTTGTCAATGCCTTTTGATTGAGGAAATGCTGGAAGCAAAAATGTAATTCAATTTAATTAAGGTCCTATTGAAAAAGACCAGTTGGAGGTTTACAGAAGTCATTGAACACTGTCCGAATAAAGGAAAGTTATTCTCATGAACACCTCAATATTTTCCTATGATCATGAGATCTATGGCTCACTGATCAAAGTAGAGCAAATCTTGTAAATTAGTACTCTCCATTGTATCGATATTTTAAATATTGAAAAAAAAAAATTATTGGCCATTATTTGAGCCTTTCAGTTGACAGAATAACTAACTCCAATTTCAACACTTTTGATTATTAATTTTAGGGATATTTCCAGTGAGAAAATGTATACCTTTATTTATGTATTTCAACACTGCACTCACCTACTCTGCAATCAACTTATTTAATGTTTGTATAGATATTATTTCTAGCTTCTTGGTTTTGCTGATGATATTGACATAATAGGTAGGTCTGAACGGGCTCTCAGAGAAGCGTTTATAGGCCTTGAAGCAGCTGCAAGACCACTTGGTCTAGAAGTCAACGAGAGGAAAACTAAGTATATGAGAGTTGGTGGTGAGGTGGATCTGAACTCTCCATTTGAGGTAGGTTCTTTTAAGTTTGAGAGAGTGAAAAGTTTTATATACCTTGGGTCTGAAATTAATAGCAAAAATGACATGGCTCAAGAAATACAAAGAAGGATCACGGCTGCCAATAGATGTGTCTTTGGACTTGGCCGACACTTAAGAAGTAGGTACCTCTCAAAGAAGACCAAGCTGATCATATACAAGACCCTTGTTCGGCCTGTTTTGACATATGGCTCAGAGGCTTGGACGATGACTAAAAACGATGAGATGAAGCTGAGTATGTTTGAGCGAGGAGTCCTCAGAAGGATTTATGGTCCAGTAAAGGAGGGTGATGTCTGGAGGAAAAGAAAAAATAGGGAGCTCAGTTCTCTCTATACAGACATCGACGTAGTCACGTATATTAAACTGGCCAGACTAAGGTGGGCAGGGCATGTGGCCAGAATGAGCACCGTTGAAATACCAAAGAAAATAATGATGGAGGAGCTGCACCTGGTAAGACGGGTAGGAAGGCCGAGGACGAGATGGTTGGACAATGTGGCCTGTGATGCGAGAACCCTGCTTGGTGTACGGAACTGGAGAGCTGCAGCAGAAGACAGAGCCAACTGGCAGAGGCTCTTGGAGGAGGCCCAGTCTCAGTAACGGGATGTCGTGCCACATATGAAGATGATGATGATGATGATAGATATTATAAATTTTCCAACTCGAAATATCACTGAAAGGATCACATATAAAATATCTTTTCAGTACATTTATTATTATTTTTATTATTTTCTGATTTTTCTTAGTTTGCGGATTCAATACTGAAGGTGGAGAACAAGTTCAACCACTTACAGTATAATTTTTTTTTCTTTTATATGTTATTATATATTATTATTTCGTAATAATTATCATATATAGTGTTCTAACTTTTATAGTGTTCTAAGGAATAGTTATAATACTTTATTAATAAATCTGAAACAGATTTTTCTTTTTATTTCCATTTCATGAAGGTCCTCCAGAGACTGGAAGAATACATTCTTTCTATCCGTGGGTTCCATTAGTATTACTTTTGCAAGGATTATCATTTTTATTGCCACAGAACTTTTGGAGTTACATTGATGATGGATTTTTTGAAAATTGCTTGAAAGACAGAAATTCACTAATTATTGAAAATGAGATGATACAACCATTAGCTAGGTAATTGTATTATTTTTTTTAAGATGGGAAACTACAGAGTAAAATAATTTTGAAGGTTAACTTTAAATTTACATTCTTTCAACATTTTGTTAAAAAAAGTAATTTCCTAGTGCTGAACTAGTTTTGTTAATTAGCAAGTTCCTATTAGATCTAGTCGCTCCATTAATTTGTGCTTATGTCGTTTAAGAAATTATTCTTGTTTTGGAGTAATTTTTAACACTTTAGCATGAAATTTTCCAAACTTTTTTTTTACAACAGATTTATAAAAAAGATTTGATACAAAAGATTATACCAAAGAAACTCTGCAATATCATTTATTTGATGATATATTACAGAAAATAATATTTTTTAAAAATATGTGACTAATACTTATGCTGAAAGGGAATTATAACTGTTCAATTATCAGTCTTGTAGAAAACGTATCTATCATTAATAGTTTAATTTTAATTATATTAACTATGATATTTTTCATAAATATTTTAACATTTATCAATCTATTTCAGATATCTGGCAATGAGAATGAACTCTTTCATGATGTGGTCTCTAGGTTACATTTTATCTGAAATTATATTTGTGTTAAATGTAGTTATAAATTTTTATTTAACTGACATTTTTCTTGGAGGTGGGTTTTTAGAGTATGGATTGCAGGTACTACAAATTTTTAAATACATTTTAATGTTATACAAATATCTGATTGTTGCAATTAAGGTGGATCAAGTATTTTGTCTTAGGTTTTTTTTAATTTCAAAGTGGCTGGTGGAACATCTTTTCCGCCAATGACCAGATGCATTTTCCAGAAATTTGGCCCTTCAGGAACCATTGAAAGCCGAGATGCTTTGTGCGTAATGACTCTGAACATGTTGAATGAAAAATTTTACTTGCTCCTGTGGTTTTGGTTCTCTTTTCTGTTGATCATATCAGCAGTGATTTTTGTATGCCGGTTATGTTTCCTAACTATAGTTATAATGAGGAAAAAAAGTAAGTAGTGAATATTTTTTTATTTATTTATCAATTATTAATTGTTATAACTTAATTCTTGTTTGTGTATATTTATTTCTCTAGCAAAATATTGGTCATGATAATCATTTCCTTATTGCTTTTAAAGATAAGACAAATTATACTTCCTTAGTTAAATTTGTTTATTTTATTATTATATATACATTTGCTATTCTTCAATAAGTATGCTTTGAGACTGCAGCTGCCCACCCACTATAATACTTCCACTATTAGTCAAAGAAAAAAAAAAAAAAAAAATCTGGTGCGTCTACTTACACGACTTTCCTACCTATTTCAACAAGTTTTTATATCTTTACATATGTTCATGAAGAAACAAAAAAGAATTGAACTAGATACATTTTCCTGAAAATTGATCAAACATAAGATTTGAGTACGATTTATTTGATAAACTAAAGCAGTGTAAACCGGCTTAAGATAGATCAGTGTAAAAATTTCAATACTTCCTAATATTGCTAATCAAAAACTTTTTGGCATAGCTTAGTATTGACAAACAATAATTTCTGTTGAAAGTATAGAAAATAGTGAAGATTGTGTGATGGGGCCAACAGATTTTCTTACTTTCACTTAGTCATCTTTATTCTCTCATTCACCCCTTTCTTGATACCAGGATATGAAACCGTAATCTTACATTGGAAATTGAATAGCTGTAAATAACCTACTGAAAGTTAAATGTAAAATAAAGATGTTTTGGCGGGAACAGCGAATAGCCTTCCGCTTTTATATCGGGGATTAAGGTTATTTACACTCGTGAATTATTAAAACAAAACCCCGCCACTGGAATAGACTTTTGAGGGTGTTTAACTGTTGTTGGGAATTTAATACTTTTGTGACACGGTGTGAGAAGAAACAATAAGAATATATATATGAAATGTGGGACTTAGTAAACACTTTGAATGAATTGACTCACCTAATTTATTCTTCAATTGTGAGGCCTATAGGACAACTAAATAAAATGACTATTCACTCCTGTCTAACAAACAAATTTATTTTAACAACTGATAAGGAATATATATAAGTGAATGGTCGGCTTGATATTCTTGGTCTTCAATGTAGTAAAGCCTCTCTTCCCAGATGACGTCTTCTTGTGTTCCTGTCCAGACCTCAAGTGCTTGGCGTCCTCTTCCAGCTACTGCTACCTGGTCGGACCTTTTTTCTTCTTTTCGATTGTTTATCGATATGAGATTTTCCAATGAGCAATTTATCCACTGCACAATTGAGTAGAATTCACAGTGCAACCTCACATTCCTGTATATTATATATTCCTTCTCATTCCCTCACACAATGTCGTCTAAAGGAGTAAATACAGGGGGATGTCTACTACAAAACTGACTGAACCTCTATCATACGCTCCGTACTGAGGTCTAGACCACACTGAATCAAATAAAAGAATCAACAACTGGTCTCTCTCGTTAATAGTTGTCCAAAATGAACGATTTTTTAATGGCTTTGTAGAGAATTTCATTACCTTTCAAACGACATGCAAAAGGCGTGTTTCTCAGGAGGTTGTGAAACGTATAGATCCGTCGAAAACCGCATGTCGGATTTTGACTCTATTGCAATACTTTCCTTACCTAGTATAGTTAGGAAAGTAATATAATAAGTTAAAAAAATGTGTGAAAAATAGAATAAGCTGTATCATCGCTAATACTGGTTCGTTTCCGATGATTTTTTTTTTTTGTTTTGTTGGTAATTTAATAACCTTTCAAAAAATTTATTATAAATTTTACCGTATAATATATACTTAGGGAGTTAGGCCCTATAACATTTTTCTTTTCTTTATAATATTTTTCCTGAATTTTTTGGGGAATATAGTCTATATACGAAAATTGAAAAAACAATGATTAGAACATTATAGGAAAGTTTCATCAAAATCGTTAGAGCCGTTTTTTGCGCTACAGTCTATAGAAAAACATGTTTTTCATTTGTTGCGAGCAAGCTATTGTGCATGGAGCACCGAATTTCTGCCACAGCCATCAGTAGTCAAAACCCTAAAAAATAAAAAAAGAAGCAACAAAATCCGTTCAGTACTTCCCGAGAAAATCTTGGCAAAGACAGACAGACCAATGGCTAAAAATGTGTTTTTCGGACTCCATCGATCCATCGAAAACCGCATGTCGGAAATTTGACCTGATTGCAATACTTTCCTTACCTAGTATAGGAAGGAAAGTAAATAAGAAATGGGAAGATATTTTAATCCATTTATAATTCAAGAGATTGAAAAAACAACAAAAACATGATTTATAAAACAGAAACAAAATATCTATGTATATGCAATATCAAAATTATAAATATCATCCTAAAATGAATGCCTAAATGCATCCAAAGGCATTTTACATCCAGCAATATCTTGGAAGAGATAATTCTGGATATTATTCTTCCCCTTAACTTACATTTCATTACCATGTTGTTGATTTTAACTGGAAGTCCAATAATTTTCATTTTTTATCATGAAATTTATGAAGTTAAAAAAAACAAACAAAGGCTTTGATTTATATGAGATTAATTTATTATTGATACTTATGTCTTTCATTGTTAAAAATAAAGTTTTGATGTTACAGGAATCTATTTAGATAACAACATGACTTCTTTCTATAATAATTTTCTTATAATGTAATAATTAAATTTTTATTTTGTTGCTATTATTTATTATTTTATTGTTTGTTTTTAAAAAGGTTTTAACCAGACTTGGGCAGTATTTCATATAAATTATTTTAAAATACAAACATAAATTTTTTGTGTATTGTATTTTAAGGAGTAAAATATAAAATACATTGTTTGTGACTGTATTTTATTTTTAAAATACCAGATACATTGAAATATATTTGTATTTTATTTTTAAAATAAAAATACATTAAATATATTTTATTTTGTATTTTAAATACATATTGAGAAGGTGCCTTTAAGATATGTAGTAAGGGTAATCGTTGGTACTAGAAATCGTCCATGAAAATTGAGCTTAAATTTTTTTAAGGTTGATGCTGCTAAATTTTTAATACAATTATCTTTTACAATAAAACTAGTAGATATTTAGAAATTGTGAAAGGTTTATAGGCTTTTTTCATTAGAAGGAAGAAATAGTATATTATTGATAGATATATTGTTTGGAAAAACATAAGTATTTTGATTTATATGATTTTAAAGAATTTCTCCCAAAGGACAAGGAAGGAATGCCCGAATTAGTCAGAAGAAACATATTAATTTTTTATTACAATGAAGTTTAAAATTACAGTAAAATGGTAATCAGATTTTTAAAAAAAATTCACTGTTAAAGTGATAAAATTAAAAAGTCTAGTAAAGTTTTGTTAATGAAAATTACAACTAACCTAAGAAATAATTACAAATAAAATTTAAAAGTAAAATTATTATTATAAATTAAAATTCATATTTTATGCTAATGAATTACTAATCACTTAATACAATTAGAGAAGAGTAATTATGAAATATATTTATTATTGATAAATTTACTGAGCCTGCAAATGACTAAACTTAAATGAGGTAAATAATTCAAATACCCTCTGTATACAAATTACCATTCTCGCTCTGTTTAAATTGAAACCCCAAGATTTCTATAAGATCAACGTTAACATTTACAAATTCTGGATGAATACCCTGTGTTAATAATTGTTTTTATAAAATATAATACTCTGCTACTCACATCACAGTCAGTTGAACGACTATTTTTGTTCTCTAATTTGTTGGATACACCCAGAATGAAATTGTTTAAGTAACAGGTATTATTGAAAATTAATTGCCAATAAGTTTAATTTATAATTAATATCTATTTATTTGTTTGGTTTTTGGTGAATCATAATTTCTTTAACAAATTCTTCTTTAGAAAATATTGATTGAATAAAGTATATTTTCTCAATTATATATTTAAAAACTATATCCTCTGTGTAACCTTTTTATTATTGGTTTCGTTACAGAAAAAAAAAATTATAATTTTTTTATAGGAAGCAGTTTTAAAGTTAAAATAGGTACCTTAGAGGCAAGTATTTTGAAATTATATTTTAACCACAAAACATTAAAAGTATTTAAAATACTTTTTTGAAAGTATTTTAAATACTTTTCATGTTTTGTCGTTAAAATATAATTTCAAAATACTTGCCTCTAAGGTACCTATTTTAACTTTAAAACTGCTTCTTATAAAAATACATGTATTTTGAAATAATACTTACAATACTTTTTGTCCAGGTCTGCTTTTAACCTAAAATTATATTTATCTGTCATAAAATTAAGTGTTTTGATCAGAAAAGTTAATGATGGTCACTAAATAAAAATTATTTTTATTTTTCATTATGGAAGTTGAATTAACCAAAATTAACTATGTTCAATTAAAATACAAAAGTTTTTATTTGTCTTTAAAAATTAAGGTCTTTCTGATTTTTCATTATAGAGATCAAATTTATCAGCAGTAAATTTTTTATAAATTAATTTAATAAGTACATATTATTATTATTTAAAAAATAATTTCAGTTAAAGTTTCATTTAATGAACAGGCTGTTATTTGTAAATTTATTCACTTATCCTTTCGAGAACTCTCCAAATTAATTATTATTTTCAGTAATTGATACTGATGCCGATCTTTATGTAGAAAGTTGTCCAAGATAAACTTTTTCCTATTTCTTTAAAAGTAGCATACAAGTTTTAGATAAATTATTTGAATTGCTTCTCTGGATTTTAATATGTATATATATATATAAATAAATAATTATGATTCTATTATAGGTTCCTGCTTGATAAGGTTGACACTAACGCCCCAGCTGGGATGGAATAGTGTGTTAGTTCTAGTTAACAAATTGACAGTTAGCGACTGGATATTCATGCAGCAGCTATCAAAAAGCATGTACCCGACATCTTATTCAAAACTACTTGAAAATATAGTTTTAGAAATTAATGAACCATGTAATATAAAATTGAAATATGTGGGCGTACCGACAGCCTACAAGAACTGTGAGATACTGCCACATTCAAATTCAAATGTTTAGGAGGGAAGCAAGCTTGGGAAGATGCCAATACTAATCCATATGTTCACTGTTCGTGTCACATGTTTAGAAATGTATACTGTCATCTTTTTTATTTTTTATTATTTAAAATTGTGAATTATTATCAATATTTTCTTTTATTTTGTTTTTTAAATGCGAAGTCTGCCATAGGTGAGCCATTAATTCGATTCTTAATTTAAAAGGTTATTTTATAATTAAGCCTTCATGGCTGTAATTCTAAGAATCAGTTCATTTTGTTTACTTTGTGATATTAGGCTTGTTATAATAATTTTTCTGTTTAGTATCTCATTTTTCATGGCTGTGTGATGTTCTTGTGAGATAATTAGCATGATGTTTTTTAGAAATGTCTTTGTTATTAAAACAATGTCAATAAATAAATAAAATCATTGTATTTATAACAAAAGAAAGTTTTATTTTGTTTAAATAGTTTTTATTTTGCCCGTAATAGCAGGTGTTATCTGTATAAATTAGTCAAATGTGTTTATTAAGTGATTACTCAGTTTTCTGTTTTTAGTGAAATAAAACAAAAAAGAAAATGTCTCCTGAACATGGTTTAAGTTATCAGCAAATATGATCTCTGTGACAAGACTGTTATCATGTTTTTGTGTTTCTAGCTGATGTATGAGTAATAGCTATGATGAGAAAGTGTATTTGTAAAAATCAATATTTGATGTATTGCAAAATTTTTTTAGTGATTTTTATGATGAATGTTAAAAGTCTTGCTATTCGTAAGTCATTTATGTTGAATTTGTGTATAATTTTTGTTATTGAATTAGGGCATCTGTTTGTGAATGTCAACTTGCATGCTACATGTAAGCCATGACTTCATGGCTATATTTAGACCTGACATCATCACCTTGAAGGATACACACCTGAACTTATTTAATAATAATAAACTCAGCAACTTTTTTTTCTAGCTATATACTTTTAAAAAAATATGAAAATTACCATTTAATCTTTGTTTTTTCTTTTTATTTCTTCTTAAATTTAAAATTTAAATGTTTGTTTTAATTTTAATTTTTCTTTTAAAATATCAATTTTTGAAGAACGGAACATTATTATTTTATTGTCATTAATGACCCATATAAATGGTTTTATTGTAGTTACAGTAATTACATATTGAATTGAAAGGTGTGTTAAAAAGATAAAAACAAAAAAAATTAACTGCATTGAATTATTGTGATTTTTCATCATCGACCTGCTTATGTAGTACACATTAAAAACAAATAGATACTATTTTTTTAAAATTTTGTAAGAACTAAAATTCTAACAGTTATCACTGGTTAGACATTGGATGATGAACAATTTAAATAAAATAATTAAACAATCAGTGGCATATCTACAATATTTTATTTCTTTTTGTAAATTATATATTTATTTGCTAATTTTTTATTTAAAAAATATATTCATGCCTATGAAATCAAATAATAACTTTACAGATAAATTATTTAATTTTTCAATCTTTAAAAAATAAATTATGAAGTGATTTTTCTTATTCTTATTCGATGTACCTTCAGTAGTTATTTTTGAGATTTTTTCGTTTTGTTTTGACTAAAAAGGAAATTTTAGTTCTAAAAACAAAAAGTAGTTGTCTAATAAAAATTCAAGGTTTTCTTTAAAAAAATAGATTTTGAAGGTTCAGAGGTTTAGTAAATAAAACAAAGGCTTAGAAAAATTAAATGTTCGATGTAGAATCCACTAATTCTATATTAAATATCTCCCTCTCTGTAGAAGTTCTATATATTTTAGTTGTAATAATTTCTACATTTAGTTTACATTTTTTTAGTTCATGAAAAAAGATTGCTCTCGATTGAGGCGCAGGCCTTTGCTGCGTTATGCTGGTTTCCTGTTACTCTCTCTTCAAGGTAAGTAGTTAAATTATTAAAGTGTTACTTTAATTACCTTAAAATTTGATCTTATTCAGAATGTAAATCTCAATTTTGAATAAAATTGATATATGTTAACTATATTTTTCTAAAATAAAATCTTTATAATTTATCTTTAATTTGATCTTTTATTGACGTTAAATTATTTTCTATCATTAGTCTTCTTTCTTAGGCTTTTTCTTACTTATTTGAATTATTAGTTAGGATTTTTAATAGCATTCAGTTATACTATTCTATTAAATAGTGTAATATATTATCACTAAATAAAATATTTTTATTAAGTAAATGTGTTGATTATTAACTTATCTGTATTAGGAAATTATTACTGAAGTCTAATCCACAAGAATGTGTTACAACCGTTAGGCTTCAATAAATTTCTTTGAATCATCATGTTTTTTAATTCCCTCTTCATCAAAGCATGGAGTTGAAATTTACATAAATTTTAGAAAGTAGTTGCTTTACAAAATAAAGGTTTTATTCCCACACTGTCTTATCATAAAAATACTAGGAAAATTGTATTTAATTTAAAGTTAAAATTCTGTTCTAATAGTTAATTTATTAATTAAGAAATGCTTGCTATATTTATACTTATTTTAGTATTGTCATCTCTATAGTCTGGCATGTGATTCGATCTGAAATGTTAAAAAAATATTAATATTTATATAATGATTTGATAAATTATTAGAAATTTATATCTTGTTTTTATTATTGATTGTATTACAATTAATTTCTTATCGATAATTTTTAATTTAGAGAATAGCTGCAATGATTAATAAAATAACTAAATTAAAGTGTTATTTTGTTGAATTCTAAAACATTTTGACCAGATGATGGTCATCATCTGGAATAGATGAAAAATAAGAACAATAATGAGATGAAATTAAATGTAGATTAATGTAAATTAATGAAGTCATAATTGATGGTTGTTGACCATGGTATAATGAATACAATTATATATTTTTATTCAAGTTAACATCGTAACAAATGTATATATCTCTATCTTGAATTAATTAAGTTAAAGATTTTTTTTTTGTATTTTTTCCACAGTGATTAATAAAATAACTTACTTAAAGTTGTTTTGTTGAATTATACTACAATTTTGGACTTATGAGTTCATCATCAGGTTAACAACAAAGATATGAACAGTTAACAGAAAAAAATTATGGGCAGATTGACGTAAATTAATTATGTGATGGATCGCCGTTATATTAGAATATTATTACGAGAAAAAATTATTATTTAACCTTAATTTTTGTCAAACCATCTCCAGGATAATAATTGACAAAGTTAAGTTATTCTTAATCAATTAAGCGATAATTGGTATTGCTATTTCAGAATAAGTTACAGTGGAAAATCAGTGTACCTTCTATTGGCTCTAATTTCTCTTGTCTTCCATTTGGCATACATAGCTATTCCGAAATGGCTATATGATTAAAAACAACTTATTAATTTTTGGTTTTTATCATAGATCACATTGACTTATATCCTATTAAATTATTCTAATCATTAAATGGTAATGAATATTAAACATACTAGTGAGAATGTTAAAGTAAATGAACAAAAACGATTTTAAAAACCATCCATTTATGTCTATTTTTATTTTTTCTATTATTGTAGATACATCTGTTATTGTTTTTATTATATTCTGTATAATGTAAGATGGTCTCTATACCACATGGATGAAATATAAAGAAATCTAATGGAAGAACATGTTAATTTGTTTTTATTGTTAATCATCTGTCTGATTCCAGATTTAATTTTTTTTTCTGAATTCTTTTATCACTATTAAATTTATAGTGGGTAATAAATATTCAGGACGCAGTCATTATAAAGTTTTTATTGGTGCCGACGTTTCACCCCAAACATGTGGGTCATCATCAGGGCGTGTTTCAACCGCCGAAGGTATTCAAGTGCTGTATTCCTGTTCTTGAATACCTTCAGTGCTCGAAACACGCCCTGATAATGAACCACATGTTTGGGTTGTAACGTCGGCACCAATAAAAACTTTATAATTAATGTGTCCTGAATATTTAACATCCATGATATGTAGAACAGTTGATAAACTTCCTTCAATAATTTATAAAATTTATAAGCGATTTATCATTTTAAAAAATCTATTTTTTTTATGGACATCTATTTTTGAAGTTATGTGTTAGTAACATGTCTGTAACTTGTGTATGTGTTAGTATTTCAAAGTGAAGACCAGGCTTTGATCCCATAATTTAACATTAATAATTGTTAGGTAACATTATTGCAATCAAATGACTTGCTATTCAATATGAACAAAATATTTTTCCAACTGATTATTATTAGTGAATTATATTTACTGCCTTTAGAATGTAGTTGGCAGTACTTAAATAAACAGTAACAATTTTAAAAGAAATCATAAAATAAAATTCCTTTACAAGCTTCTTATAATTTCCTTATCCCATCTTGTAATGTAGCTAATTACATAGCACTGAGAAATTTTATGTGAATTCATGCTTACTGGAAATTCTGTATAATAGAGTGATATCTAAGTTAGCCAATCTTTTGCACAATCCGTATTTCGGGCTGAAGCATCCTCTTTTTTTCTCCCTCCCCCAAAATGGTAAAATATAACCATGTTTTATAAAAACATTATCTCTACAAGTATTATTGTTCATCTAATTACATTTAATAGAACTTAAAGAATCACTTAAACACCATTTCATATAAGGTAGTTAATTTCTTTCATTCTTCTATGCTGTGTTACCCAAAATCAGTCTTGGTCTTCACTTTGCAAGACCAAGACCAAGACTATTAAAAAAATTCATTTTTTGAATATAGAAATTAAGACGAAATAGTAACTAATACTTGACAATTTTAGTTACTATGTGTAAAGAATAGGCATAACTAATATGCAGTTGCATTTAATTCTTCTAATTTTTCATTCGGGAATAGTTAGCTTACTCCTATCTAAAGAATTTCAGTGATATCTCTATAATAATAAGCTAATAGGTAACTGCAAGACTATTACAAGATTCTTGCGCAAGACCAAGACTTGTCTTGGTCTCGCATTTGGGCTACACTACTTCTGAAGTAATTGTCCTAATGTATACATACAAAAAAAAATCT